TATATATATATATATATATATATATATATATTAAATCTCTCTCAAACTGGAGATCTACAGGAGTCGGTCTAGGATAATATATTATTGTTTGATAAACAGGCCTAAATTTTTTTCCATAATCTATTTTGTTTATTTCAATACTTTATGTTTTGAAAACTTGTTCCATTTTCTCTAGATCATTATTATAGACAGGTTCTTCTTGAAGAACCATAGCTCCTTTATCAAAACTATTCCCAGAAATTACCCTCTTCTCTTTAATATTTAGTTGGGCTAATCTTTTAACTAGTTCATCAAGTAACTCTTCATTGTTATCTTTTTTCTTTGTACCTTGAAGATTAAATTGTTCTTTACTAATGGTTGGATGGGGTTTAAACAACAAAGCTTGTTTTCCTTCAGATTTTTTATGATCCACGACCCTTTCTTGGGACTTATTAGCCATATTTTCAATTATAGTAGTAAGTTTTTCAATCGTTTGTAGACAACGATTGGTATTAAAACAAAAAAGAAATGTACAATTATTTGAATAGTTAAAATGCACCTTGATTGAGAAAAATATCAAAATCCCAAAATTTAGTCTTAACACAGCCCAAACCCCATATCAAACTTTTCATACTACACAAGAGGAAGTACTAGAATCCATTCATCCCCATGAAACAAATATTCAAATAAAAGGAAAATCTGAAGAAAAACCAGAAACTAAGGCTTCACCTTATAAAATTACTCTAAAAGAAACTAATCACCATGTACATAAAATAGATGGCATTCCACATATAATCGAACAATATATATATATATATATATATATATATATATATATATGAGAAAGTATATGATGAGACCATTTACTTTTGGTACAAGGTGGTCACCATTAATCTTGACCATTGGATGTGAAATTGGGTAGTTGCATTTATTTCATTGAACAAGCTCAAAGTTCAAAATAATTTTTCTCAAACTTTGTGACACACCCAAACTATCAGATTTCATATTGGATGGTTGTAATTGTGACCTCCTTAAACCAAAGGTAAATGGTCTCATTATATACAATATATAATTTTAAAAATCAGGTTAGATCTGGATTTGATCCACCTGTGCCCAAATCCAATCTTAATTAATATTTGAATCTAGATCCATACCCATATCCAAATAGGATCCAAAATTTAGGTTTCGGATTCGAATGGGGTAAATTCTCAGCCGTTCCCTTGACATTAAAAAATTTGGCCCTTTTTGCTCGTGATCACAAAGAGAAATCTCCTTTATGTGAGATAAGGTCTATCTCTTTCTCGTACCTTCACAAAAAGGTCGTCTAAGCACCCAAGGTAGGTATCATTTTCATGAATTGTCTTCAATAGCATGGGGCTCCACGCAATCATACATAAAGGAAAATATTTGTATAAAATTTTTCAGTAGAGAATACACAAGTTTTGAGTTTGTGACATGCTAACCCCCAAGTGGCTTAAAAATCATCAATATCTGTTTATGAAAATTTGACGCTCTAGAAATGGTACAGATCTTACGAATACGTAGATTCAAAAAAAAGGAGATGGAGGGTCCAAATAATTGATTACAATATGCACTATATTTAGGTTATAAATTAATTTTTAATTCAAAGAAATGGAGGGTATAGATAATTGGTTATAAGACGCATTATTTTAGAGCTTGAAATCAATTTTTTTCCCTCATATTCACAATAATCAATGCCTAGATGATTCATTTTAAGAGTTTTCCAACACCAAAGGTACAAATTTCAATGAGATTTGAGGTACAACCTTAATTTTTTCACATGGTCTTAGCCTTATTTTAACATTTTCCTTGATTTGTACATCTCATACATGAATTCCCATAGGTGGCATTGACTTATACATCTCATTCATGATTTCCCATGAATTTTCACATGTGCCATGGATTTATAATTATGTTTTTTTTTTTTTTTTTAACAAATATTGTAAGCTTTTATTAAAAGAGTAATGATCCTATAGGACCCTCCGCCACCCATATGTGTAGGACCCTAAAGGATTACCATTAAATTTAACACAGATTTCTAGAAAAATTATCACATGGGTATCACAAAAGTTACCACATGGGTGGGGAAAGGTCCTATATGATCATTTATCTTATTAAAAAGATGCTTAAAGAGCATAAAATTACAATTGTATCATAGAGTTGGAAACAAGTAGAAAGGGAAGGAGACACCCATTTTAGCAATACCATATGCATTGGCATTTGCTTCCCGGAGGGTGTAGATAAAAGAGATATTCGATGATGGTGCCGCACAAAGATTTTGGATTTTGATCTAGAGAGTGAAAAGGGACCACGGTACTCTTTGATCTCTCCTACACCATTTGATGACATTTAGTTAATTCCTTTTCACTACAATGTCTCCAATAAATCATTTGTCAATGACAATTTGAAGACCTCGAAAGAAAACCATCATTTCAGCATGATCGGCGGTAGTGGAGCCACAAGGGCCTAAGAATGAGAAGCACACACCTCATGAACTATCTCGCAGCAGGCCTCCAACACCAGTTGGACCTAGGTTACCAAAATAACTACCATCAAAATAAAGTTTGAGGCAGCCTTCTGGAGGCGCAACCCAGATCCTGTTCGGTCGGTTAGTGGCAGAGACAAGAATTAACTAGAGCTTTGAGATTTACATAAGTATCCGACGAAAAACACCCTTACCATCAAGGGTAACATAAAACCACTTTCAAAGAGATTGCAAAATAAGGTCCTTGACCCGCTCAGCACACAGGGACACCCCCTCAAAAGTTATTTTGTTGCGCTCTAGCCATATATTCCAAAGAATAGCACTTTTTGAAGATTTTCCACAACACAACACCCTTTTTTGGAATACCTATCACAGCAAGATGATCAATGATGCTATCAAGATCTTGTGGTATCAGAAAGGAGATACCTAACAAGGAGAAGGCCCAGTACCATGAGGTGGTTGCAAAAGGGCAGGAAAGGGCATTTTATGATTTCGAT